CCAACTGGCTCAAGAAGCTACCAAGACTCTTTTGAGAGTCTTTAATCCAGGCTGGCTGAAAGCCAAAAAAAATTTACTCTGCTCATAAAGGACAGAGCACGATCCATCTATTTATATCAGTCTTTAGCATCTCTTGGTGTTGGACAAAGAGTTGTGGGCAGAGCCTCCAAAAGGATGTGACAGACCTAGGGAAGGACCAAAGCAACAGAGGGGGTCAGCAGTGCACAGAAAAGCTCTCAGGTCAAGGGAGGTTGGGCAGCATAAATCTCTGCTGGAGATCCATAAAATTGGAAGCATGAAGAGAAAGGAACAAATGTTCTCCAGATCTTACTACCCCAGATCTAGGAGGCACCAGTAGAGATCTCAGGCAGCTCATGATAAGAAAAGGGATAAGCAGCACCTTTCCTTGTGGTGTCCAGTCAAACCATGAGACCAGTGACCCAGGATATGACGAAGCCAAAAGTATCATCAGGCTCCAAACACAACCAACCAAGGAGATTGATCCCCTGGGACCACAGTTTAAAGACCATCAGAATCATTTTTTTTTTCCTCAAAACAACCTTAAACACATGAATTTTAGGAACCAGGAAAGCAAGAACCATTTCCTCCATGCCTTGTTCTCCAGTCTTCTCCTTCAGCACCACCCCATGACACCAGCTCCAGAGAATGTTTGCAGTTTAACCCAACACAGCAACTCTTTGGAATATTGCACCCAGAGCCCAGGACACCAGGAGAAATTCTTCTTAGCTCCAACAGGAGCAGGCCTGAACCCTCAAGGCCCTACATCCCAGCTCATCAGTCCATCCACTGCCACCTGGGGGTTGGGGTGTAGGGAGGACTTTGTTCCCAAGACAACTGTGGACACCTGAGCTTTCCAGCCCTCAACAAACTGCAGCAACAGAGTTTTAAAAAAATACATCTCTTCTCCTCCCTTGGGAATAGTCCATTAATACCACAGTCATTGTCCATTAATACCACAGTCATTGTCCAGTTGAGCAGTGTCAGGTTGGGGTGATTTAGAGCTGCTAATGGGTGATGTCACCACCAAAGTGAATGCAATCCCAGAAAAACATGAGAATAAAATGACCAGGAGCTGTAAAACACACACATCTCCCCCCAGCAGCCCCAGGGACAGGGCAGTTTTCCTCCAGTCTCTTCTGCAACTGGAGGAGTTTCTAAGAAATGACTAAAATAAAAATGACAGAGGAAGCAAAATCTGTTAAGGAACACAAATCTACTGTTTTCCCAGGCCTTTCTCAAGAGCAAATCAACACGTTGACTTGGGAGTGAATGAAAACCAGACACCACAGCCTGGCTGGAGAAAGACACTAAGGGAGTGTTTTCTGGAACAACAAACCAAGCCATCTTGGGCCACTACCTGTGAGGCTCCAGTTCAGCTCAATAGGATATTGATCCTGGCTGCATCTAACACAGCCCTGACTTCTTTTCTAATTAAGAAGTTCTGCTGTCTGTTTTTGACCCAAAAAAATGCCCATCATGGCAGGGAAATAAAACAATATACATATTTTTCAATCATCTCAGCCTGCAGGCATTGAGCAGGAGGAAAAAAATGCTTGGAAAAAAACAGGTGGAAAGGGTTGCTGTGGAATTCCTGTCCTATTTACAGGAGGGTAAGTCCAATAAATGCAGAACCTTCCCCCACAGCCTCCTCCCAAACACACCCAGACACTGCCTGCCCTTCTTACTATGGAAACAGCTCACGAGAGCAAAGCTGCTCTTTGCTTTTATGGGCTTCAGCTAAAAGCTGCAAATGAGATCAGCTTTTCTGACATTCACCATTTACCTTCAGAAAAAATGTGCACTCAGCAGGATTAGCAGGTACACGGCTCTGCAGGGGGCACCATGAGATGCAGTTTCCTGATCCTTCATGCTCACAGGAATAAAAATAAAGGGAAAATTAAAGCCTTCTATAATATGGAAGATCAACGTGAAACTGAGCTGAGGAGCTGAACACTGAGCACTGCCTGGGAAGCATGAACAAACGTTTTCAAGTAGAAATCTTGCACATGGGGAAGGGAAAGCTTTTGATAGAGCAGTAAAATCATAGCTGGAAAACTGATGTCCTACCTATATCTTTATTTATAAGGACATACTAAGTACAAGTTCATCGCTGCCCTTCTTTATTATTCCCCAACAAATCACAGAACCTGCTTGATCATCATCTGAAACACACAGGTCTCAGACCACCTTCCATGGAAACAAAAATCCAGGTCCCACTTGTGTCACCATCTCACAGCCCCTCCCTGGGGAAAGGGCCACATTTGTCAGCAGTAAATGCTCCTCCTCAGCAACCTGCCCTTCAAGTCTGGGTGCAGAGAGGCCAGGAGGATGCCTGGCTCCAGCAAAAGGCTTTGCTGAGTCTCTCCTGCCTTGTTAGGAGGCAACAGGCAGAGGGAAAGGATTCCCAGCCAAAGGAGGAAGCCCAAGGAAGAGGAGCTCCTGCTTTCCAGCACAGCCCCATGGCAACACAGGAGTGAGCTCAGAACATCAGGAGGATCTAGGAAAAATCAGAGCAAAACACAACAGGCTGCAGAGAAAACACTAATTCAATCCCCTGCAGATCTTTGGGTGTTATTTCTCCACTATAGGTCTCTCCATCTGATCACTGGGTTTGGAAATGCAGCCCCAGGTTCAGGAACACGTTTCTCTATCCAGACACACGAGCAACCTGGTTATTTGCAGCAGGGCTCCCCAGACACCAAAAAGTGGGCACGAGCTCAAGCTCCTTGCTAAATCCAGCCCTGGAATTACAAGATTAGAGGTCTGTGGATTTTCTCAGTGGGGAAGACTCCTGCACTTGGTGTTGCTCAGTTGACAGGTCCCCCCTGCAGTCCCCAGACAAGGCGATCTCAGCCCAGCCCAGCGAGTGGCACCGTTGGAAACCAGCAGCTCTGACCTTATCAGGGTTGTACTTCAAAAGGAAACGTGTGTTTGCAGATGGCAACAGGGTTCCTCGTTACAGCTGCCTCATCAGGCTGATATCCCAGGATTGTGGGGGGGAGAGATCAAACAGGGCTGCAAACAGCAGGGACACTGACACGGGCACCGGGGAGACGTCGCGGGGTGGGGATCCCACAACCACCATTCCCAGCACACACCACCATTCCCAGCCACTGCCACAGGACTCTGCACAGCTCAGCCACAGCCAGGCAGTTCCGAGTCCAGTTCATGTTCCACGGTCACAACGTTTTACTAAAGATCTTAAGTATTGTTTTCGGTCCAAGAGCTAATACAGAGGTTGCTCTAAGATGATAAGCAGGCACAACAGCTTTCAATCAAGGTGGTTTTATTTTTTTATTATTTTTTTTTTGCAGGGTTCTACAGTAGTGGGACAGAGGAAGCAGCAGCAAGAGGGGAAGGAGAAAGTTTAGAATATACAGCACTTCCTTTTGGGCTGAGTTTCCGGAGGCTCGAGGGCAGCTAGGATAGCCTCATCAAACACATTCTTCAGACCTCTCTACAAGACAGAGGGGAGGAGAAAAAACAGCAGCCAGGTTAGAGGATTAGACAAAAAAAAAAAAAAAAAAACACAATCAAATAAAAAAAATTACCTATTTGGATCCTTGGCTTGTGTTTATGAAAAAAGCCAACCCAAGTAGCAACGTGGCTGCAATTCAGAGAAGCTTTTATGTCTGACCTTAACTGTGAGCACTGAACCCCTGGAGTCAGCTCAATTCCAACATGCACTTGGATGCTTTGCTGAAGGATAAATCGAAGCACAAGCCAAAGCCCCTCCCAGAATTAGGGCCTTCAATTTATATGTATATTTCTTTCTAACACACAGAAGGGCATAACAGTAACTAGGAATCAGAACATATCACCAGTTGGAATAATTGTAGCATCTGTGCTGATTCCCTTTTCATCCCAGTTCCCCCTTATGCTTCCAAGTATGTAAATCCAATTCTCCTTGTGGCACCAGTGAAATTTCTATTGATTTAATCCCCAGCAGCAGGAGAACCAAGCCCTGCATGTTTATTTTCCTCCTCTCAATACATACAGAATTCCCTTCGGCCTCAATTGCTGGATCACATGGTGCACTGAATGCAAATGGAATTACAGTGATAATGTAGCTAATGAACACATTTGTGAATGTATGGGAGCATTTTCCTACCAGCAACCACTATGAACCAGACCAAAGAATATACACATGGGCCACAGAGTAGCAGGGAAGGTGTGTGAAGTAAGTGCATGCTAAGAACAAGAGCCAGGCTGCAGTTTTCTGGGAGAGAGAAAAAACAACTACCTGAAATCCTTCCAAAATGAAGGTTGCAGGATCAGGACCTCATGCAGACCTTTGGAACATTTGCTTTGGAGCTTTTAAAGCACAATTTGTAGACCTGAAGTGTTACTTAAGGTTTGTGTTTTCATTGCCCACTAGCATTACTCTGCATTTATATAAATAGCTGTAGAAACTGTTGCAATGGATAAGGAAAATGCTGAAAGCATTTCCAAGAAAGAAGTTAGTGCCTTCAATTTCAAATCTGGGCACAAAAGGCACAAGCAGCATTTTCAGCTCCATCTTTTACATGACATGCAATCCCTTGGAATTATTTTTGGAAAAGGGATTTCTCTAGCAGGCCAAATTCATTCCTGCAGGAACTTCACCTGTTTCAGAGTTACCAAAAAATGGGCTGCATTGAATTTGTTAGCTCATTCCTGGTTGACTTTTCAAGCCATCCTGTGATGTCTGAAGATAAGTTGATTTAAATCAGGTTCAAATTAGAGCCTGCAAAGTCCAACAAACCACCTGGATAAGGTACTTGCCAACACACACACAAATAAATACCCTCAAAACCTCTTCCCAGCTGGTTTAACCAACACTTTGAAAGCTCCTCATTCAGCACAACAACCACCCTTTATTGCCAGGAAGGTCAGAAAAGCAGGGGTTTGGCACCATTTCACTATGATCACAGTGTTCAAACCAACACAAATCAAAGCAAGACTCACCCTGAAACTGCAGTGGAGAGGGAATCACTTACCCTGTGAGGACCACAACAAAATCCATCACGTTCCAGCCGTTCCGGAGGTAAGAGCCTTTGTGGAAAACAAAGCCCAGGGCGATGATTTTTATACCAGCTTCAAAACAAAATATTCCAATAAAGTAGGGCTCAGTGTCATCCTGAAAAAGAACCAAAACCAAAAGGTGTGAAGGCAAGACCTGTGCTCCTGCAACAGTCACATCACCAGCTACGTGCACCAACTTCACACCCTGTTCAGCCCTCTGAGCAGAGCTGGAAATAATAGGTTGAAATCTCCTGGAAATTTAAAGAACATAAGAATTTAAATTTTAAAAATTTAAATTTCAAGGAAATAGGAATTTCTTTAGTGTTTCTCTGCAGGTCAGCTTCTAGTTTTTCACCTGGAAACTCTACTTGCCTTTATTCTGGCAGTTGCACCCCACACGTTCCACCTTTACTCAATATTCTAGAGGGAATTTTAACACTGAAATCTTGCTGCAAGGGTTTATTTCATCCTGAGATCACATATTTCTGCGTTATGGACATGGAACAAAGCAGGTGCTTTACAATTCATCCAGGAAACAGAAACAAGAGGATTTCTTGAGGAGGAACAGGCAGCACAGCAACCTGGCAAACCCTGGCAGGAAATGATTTATCACTTAATCCATCAGTTCTGCCCTCACTCCTTCCCCTCCATTTCCTCCCTTGCCTCAGCTGCAGCCAGGCCTGGTTTCCTTCCACTGAGCATCTGATGCAGGGAGAAACCCCCACTCCCCTGAGCAGCAGCAAGGTTTGGGTCTCAGGCCCACAGTGCAGACTGAATCACTCCAAGGACTCACAGCTCTGCATTCCAGTTGCTAGAGAGAAAAAAAATCAAGCTGAGTCTCCACAGTTTTACTGAACCATTTTTTTCATCTGTGGGCCCAGATTCAGTGTCACACTCTCTTGACCAGAATTGCAACACTGCAACGGGTCCATGCCAGACAGAAATGCTCACATTCTGAACCAAGATGTGGGCAAGAAATGGGGACAAAGCAAGAGGTGCCAGCAAGAACATGTTCATGAGCTTTGGCACCTGTAACCAATTCCCAAATGTGCCTCAGACCCTTAATTCCAGCTGAAGCAAATGGAAGTAAAGCAGCCCTGCCCAGAAGGATGGAAACTCCCAAATTAAGATTGGAAACCTTTGTTCCAGTGGCTTCACCATTTCTGCTCAGAGCCAAAGCCATGAGCTGCTGCTTGATGGAGACTTGTTTACATTCTGCAGCTCTACTAATGACAAAGGGGGATTTTAGTTCCCTCATGCAGAAAGAGCATGAATGTCAAGTCTTGTGGCCACAAAACAACTTTGATAAAATCATTTATTTTACTAGCACAGCAAATCCTGCTCAGCCCTGTCCCACAGACCCACCCTTTGGTCACAGGGAGCCAGGCTTGTCACACCAAGAAGCCAAATATCATCACAGCCTCCTCCCAAAGGGGTTCCCACTCAGCACATCAATGGAGACCCAACTCAGCCACAAAGTGCTCATCACTGAAGGTGCCTCCAAGCTGTTGCAGAATGATTCTGGTTGGAAAAGACCTTTAAAATCATCAAGTCCAGCCATAACCATGAGCTGAACTCTACCCAAGCCAGTGCTTAAACAGTGTCCCTCAGCACCACATCTACACAGCTCTGAAACCCCTCCAGGGGTGGGGATTCAATCACCTCCCTGGGCAGCCTTAGGCCAGGGCCTGACAACCCTTTCAGAGAAGAAGTTTCTTCTAACATCCAATCTAAACCTCTCCTGGCACAAATTGAGGCCATTTCCTCTTGTTCTATCACTTACCCCCTGGGAGAAGAGGCTGACATCTCCCCCCATCCCCTTTGGCTCCAACCTCCTCTCAGGCTGTTGCAGAGCTAGAATGTGTCCCCTCAACCTCCTTTGCTCCAGGCTGGACACCCTCAGCTGCTCCTCTTAATGCTTGTTTCCCACTGTTGGAAATTCCTGCTTCTGGACAAGCTTCTCCAGAGTGGCTGCACTCAAGTTTTGTTTCCTACAAAGCAGGAACCCACTCCCTGCACACCCCAGTGACCCCAGCTCCTCCATGGACTTCATCTTTCACACCACGTCACCTCCACTCCCCTCCACCTTTCCTGAGCTCACAGCCCCAGCAGATCCATTTCCCATTCCCCTGCAGCCAGGAAGGAGGACCAGGTTACACCCCCACTGACTGGGCAGGCAGCAAAGCAGAGCAGGGGACTGAGCTCCCACTGAACAAACCCAGATCTTCTCTCCCTCCAGCTGAGGAGCTGCTTCCACCACCAGCAGCACCTCCAAGCTCTCTGTCTCTCCACAGAGCCCCACTGACACTGCTCAGAGGACACAGGAGCTACCACTGACAGATTGAGAAGCTCCAACTGCCCATCTCAGAGCCAGTTCCACACCAAGAAGCAGCAACAACAGGAGGACATCAGGCCTTTCATGACCTTCAACAGAAACCCTACAATAAGAGCCTTCATCCTTCACCTTCTCCACAGCAGGAGCTGGGGGGTCCCACAGGAGGAGTGGGAGCCCCAGGACTCCAACACAGAACAGAAAACAGGGAAGAAGGGTCAGAAATCATCAGATATGACGTTTCAGGAGAACTTAACTCACTGCTCCTCTGCTTTCCCTTGGGCACAGGAGCACTCTGACTGCTCCTCTTCAGCCCCACATCAAATTCTACTTTAATAAGCTCACCAAACCTTTGAAAACAAAGGCCTCCTGAGTTTCTACCCCACCACTACAAGCACAACCCACACACACTCCTTCTTATCACTCCCTCACCTCTTGGGACCCTTATATCTACTCCACCCCAGGTCCTTTGCTTAATCTGGGTCAGGTGCTTTGAAATTGCAGCTCCCAGGTTTAAAGAGTCAGGTTTAAGTTATCAAGGGTTGGCTAGAACATGCTCTTCCCAAAGCTAGGACTACACAGAGCTCTTGGGAATTGGGTCGAATAAGTTCTTGGCAGCTTCTAGGGAAGCAGGAAGGCTCACAGATGGACTTGGGTATTTGTGACAAAGGAAAATTGTCATCAATAGGGTTGGCAGTGAGTAGCTGGGAAAATAAGAGGGGATAGAATCTTTTCTGTAGCCTCAATTTACACTGTTTCAGCCTAAGAATCAGGGCAGTAACAATGGGATGAAAAGTCAATTTTATGCCCTATTAGGCAGTGGGGACCTGCTGCTGGAGAAAGGGATGCACGTGTCTGTGTGTGATGGAAGGTGCTGGAGGGCAGGGCCATGGGGGACACAGCCTGTGCAGCACTGACCTGGCCCTGCCATGGGCTCAGGGACCCTCCTTCAGCCCCCTGGGACAGGAGCTGCTGCTTGGGTTCAAGAGTGGGCAAGTGCATGATAACAGGCATCAGTTTGTGTGCTTGGAAGGAGGGTGGAGAATCTGGGCAGCAGCCAGAGCTGTGCCAGCAGGTTGTTTGCTGTGGACACAGCCACGTTTGAGGCTGGGCCAAACACACATTTAATCAATATGTTTCAGATCAGAAACAACTTCTGAGTCTGGGAAGTCATTACTCTTCCTAGTCCATGTCCTAGTGCCCTTCCTTGGCCTCTGGGTGGGACAGCCTTGGTAGGTGTGGGTGTTGAAGGGCTTTGTTCATGCCAAGGGTGAGATGAGCAGCTCACATGCAACTGCCCAAAGCTGCAATGGATAAAGAATTAAAGGCATTAGTGAAGTGCCAGAGCTGTTGTGCTGAATATCTGAGGACAGGGATGTTCTGCCCTCACTGCAAAACCATCCAGGGGAGCCAAACATGCTGAGCCCCATGGTGGAATGTCAAGAAACCTCCTACAGGTCCACCAGGGTCTTCACACAGGGTGTGCCCCAGAGTAGGGTAGAAAATAGATTTCCTGTCCCAAAAGTCATGACACTGTCCCTGTCAGGCTGGGACAGCTCCAGGGTCTGGAGCACAAGTGTGCCAAGGAGCAGCTGAGGGAACTGGAGGTGTCCAGCCTGGAGAAGGGGAGGCTGAGGGGAGACCTTCTTTCTCTGCAACTGCCTGAGAGGAGGTTGGAGAGAGGGGGGCTCAGCTTCTCTCTCAAGGAACAAGTGATAGGACAAGAGGAAATGGCCTCAGGTTGTGCCAGGGGAGGTTTAGGTTGGATATTGGGAGGAATTTCTTCCCCAAAAGGGTTGTCAGGCCCTGGCCCAGGCTGCCCAGGGCAGGGGTGGGGTCCCCATCCCTGGAGGTGTTTCAAAGCCTTGGAGATGGAGCTGAGGGACATGGGTTAGTGGTGGCCTTGGCAGGGCTGGGTTAATGGTTGGACTGGATGACCTTGAAGGTCTTTTCCAAGCATAACAGTTTCATGACTGTGAAAAAACAAGAAATGAGAAAGGAGCCAGGGAGACAAAGAGCCTCAGCCAAGAGCACCATGAACAAGGCATCCTCCTGCAAGGCCATCCAGGGCTCAGAAGTGAAGCTCACATTCCCACATTTGCAGCTCTCACCACCAGGCTCTGGGCCACTCAGGACAAGTCCCTCAGCATCTTTTCAGTTGGCTTCAGTCCAGTGTGTAAAAAGGATGCAATATTTATTGGAACAGAGAGAGGCTGACTCTACAGCCTATTGGCTAAGGCCCTCAGCTGAGGTGGGCAGGAGCAAGCTGGTAGCATCTCTGTTCCAGTGGGTAATGACTGATGTGAAGTAAACACTTCAGGCAGCCAAAGAATGCAAGACCCCCAGCTCAGAAAGCAGGGGTGGGTCATTCTCTTCCTAGTGAGCAGAATGAGCTTATTTGTCTGAAGAGCAAGGACACAAAACAAATGCTCCAGTTCACCACTCAGTGCTTTGTCCACCAGACTGGTTGTTTTTCAGAGCCCTGGTTTTGACCAGAATGTCCACCCTAGAGCCAAGTCATGCCTTTCTGTGCTACAAACCACATACAGAAAACAGACAAAGATTACTTATAACTCAGCCATTCCAGCTCTGGAAATACTGCACATCCTGAGGATTCACTTGCTCCTCCCTTGTGCTTAATTAACCCTGCTTGATGTGCAAGAGGAGACCAGAAAACAGCCCAGTGAGATTGCACTTCAGGTTCCTACCCTGGGTCTCTGGGGAGAGACACAGAGGACAATTTTGTTCAGAAGAGAAAAAATGGTGAGGGTGTTTGTAGAGACTCCTCCCTCTCCTTCTCAGCTTCAAGGAACAGACAATCTTAAGCTTTTTGCCATTGTATCTGTGGCACAAAGTATCAGGGCAGCTTTGGTTTTCCTTCAACCACTCTGCTGACATTTTCCAGTCCTAAAAGGCTTGTGATGTGTAGCTCATAGCCTTAAGAGCTGATTAACTCTTCCATGATGAGCCCTCCCTTCAGTCTGGAGCTCTAACAAACCCAGGGGAAGTAAAGGCACCTCCAGAAACCAATAACCAAAAAAGAGGCCACTTCCATTTGTGCCAGAGACAGCCATAAAACACCTGCTCTTCTGCATGGGCTTAGAATTTGGCTGAACAAACCTGTAAAAGTGTGGGCATGTTCACCCACTCTGGCTGAGCACAGATCTGTAACATGTTCAATGGAACAACCTACAGCCTGTGGGAAAGGCAGGAGCCTTCTAAGGAGGTTTCACTTTGGAAACCAGAGGGCAGCTTTCTTATTCACCAGGCTTCATCTTTCCAGCATATGTTGAAACAAAAAGAGAAGAAATCATGATCTGTAAAGGTGCTCAGTGTTACTCTGTGATAAATCCCTCTGTGCTCCAGGGTTACCAACGTGCTGTAGCTAAAATGGCTTCAGAGCACCTGGGTCACAGACCCACTGCACCATGGTGGGGACAAAAATCAGGGGCTCATCTTCCTTCATCACCAAAGCAGAGACATAGAGGAGAAGATCATGCATTTAACTCCTGCAGTTATCTCCCACCATTTGAGGATGATGCCAGTTCCCTCCTTTGGAATCTCTGGGCAGGAGCTGAAGGTGTGTGTGGTGCTGGGGGCTGTAAAACTGGGTTAATCTGGGGGGGGAAAGGACTAATAAGGAGCCTCTTGGATCCTCTTAAAAACCTAGGGATAGAGAGGAACACAGAAACAATGTGCTAAGCACACTTACTGCTGCTCAGACTAACACATCACCAGAAGGTTACCAAGCCAGGACATCCACAAAACTACTTTCCCCTTCCCTAGTCCCTACATCCAGCATTTTGGAAGGCATTTCCCCAGCTGCACTGTTCTCCTGGGTGTAAACCCAGGCTTTGCTCACAACCCCAGCCTTGCTGCCTGACCCCAAAACACACAAAGACACATTAAATGGCAGAAAGATCAACACAGATACACGGTCTTGATTTCTGCCTCATCTCTTCTGGAGCAGCAATAATTCCAAGAGACAGAGACCAAGCAAACACAACGGAGATGGGCAGCCAAGCTCAGCAGCTCCACTTCCAACCAGTATCAACCAGTATCAACCCCCTGAGACCCTGAAGCTCTTCCTAGACCTGTCACTTACACACTTGTACCTGTTTCTGCAGAATGAGACTGTGAGAGTTGCCCACGAGTAGGGACCAGCCTTGAGAACTGTAGCAACCAGCACTCAGAGGCTCTTGGCAGCAAGCCTAATATTACTTCTGTTTGCATAATTTAATCTCTACATGTAAAACACAGAAGGATCCATATTTATTCATCCCTCAGATGTACACCGGGTTTAATGCATTTAGGCCTGAAAGATGTTCCAGACCATTAACAGCAGGAGAAAAAGATCAAACCAAACACCACCCGTTTTTCCTCCAGTGATGCTAAATGGCAGGATGGTTTTGAAGCTATTCTTGTATTTTCTCTGGAAACAAGGTAATTGGCCTCATTACCATAAAGCCTGTGGGTAAATTATTTTCCTCTGTACGTTGGTTTCTTTTTTTGGAAGGCAAGTGTGATCATCTAAACCCAAAGTTTGCTTTGTAGGGTCTTTGATAGATGCTGTAGCAGGAAGAGAGTTGAAAGGCATGTGGACCTAAAAGGTGACTGTTCTACCACTTCCTGGGGAGGTATCACTGAAGTGAATTTGATTCTACAGACAATTGTCACCACTTTCCTCTCTTGGCCTATACACAACCCAATTTGCTGCTGTTCTGGTGGCACCATAAGGTCCCTCTCTTGGGCTGGGCTGGCTGGAGTGATGATGATCCTTGAGAAGCTGGGATCAGGTGAGAGTCATATTTGCTGTCACTTATTATTTTTCTGATTATCAGGTCAACGCCCCTTTGTTTACACGTGGATCCTCCCAACAGCTACAAGCCCTGGCAACACGGGGTGCCTGGTGGTTGAGTTAGAGCAGAGCCAAAACATGGTCACAAATAGAACTCACCAGTCTCTCTGACATGGGTGTCTTGTCTCCATCAGGCAGATGTTGCTCCAGAGCCAGCACGATGCAGTTGGCAATAATTGTAGCTAAAATCATGTATTCAAACGGAGTGGGGACTGGAAGTTAAAGAAGACACCAGACAGCACAAACAGAACCTCATTCAAATCCCTTGTCTACCAAACCAGCCACATGGGTCAAGAATTCTCATCTTTTTTTGAAGACATTGAGTCTCCTTGACTTGCTCAGCTCTTTGTGGGGTGTCTTTGGGGGAGAAGGAGGAAACTGGCTCCCTTCTTTGAGGGAATTAGTCCCTTAAACAGAACCTGAGCTGCTGTTGATTATTATTTTGGGGAAAGGTTGCTAAGCTGAACTGCTCCCAGATAGTTGCTGCGGCTGGATGCCATCTGCTGAGCTGCCTGCAGCAACTCCCTCTCCTTTAACTTGAGCACAGAGTGGAAATGGGCTCGGAAAGTCCCGTTTGGAGCATCTACAGGGCTGCAAAGCACCGATTCCTGCCGGACCGCAACGCCCGTCCCCGGGGAGAGG